ACGACGCCTGAAGGGATTTCTTCTAGACAATAAGACTTTAGGATTTACTTGAGAAGATGTGTACTGTGTCATTCAGTGAAATTAATGCTGTATTTATCATGTGTAGTGTAGCAGTTATGAGTTTGCTTTATAACTCACCCATGGAGTCCAGAATATGAAACCATGTATGTTCATAATTTGAATCTTATAATGATGAAAGTTCATGCAAGCAGTGTACGAATCAGAAGAGATCAATCAGTCCCATTCTGTAGATCATCAACAGAAAAATTTAAAAATGTTACCAACACCAACTCAACCCATCAGAAATAGTCTGCATGTTCCACATATGCACCAATGTACTCAGAACCAAAGTTTAGCCAATCATCATGAAGGGCTGGACGTAGATTTTACACTTTTTGTCATTCGTTATCAAGCCATATGCATCTAGAACCCTGAAGGAACTCAACACCCTATTCAGATTTGAACTTGCATCACCTTGATCTGCAGTCACGAACGTTACGACTGATCTAATGACCTCCTGAAGGAATGTATTCGGTGCATGGATTCGTCACTAAGGAGTAACTCATGATGCACGAATAGTCCATAGTTTTGCTACAGACTGAATTCTCTCAGGGTTTGCATTTCAGACGGTTGCAGATACTCACTGTTGAAAAGTGCCAATAAAGACAAAACCGAAATCCAGGGTTTGTTACCAGTTATTATTTTCATTCCCTTGGTTTCCTAGTGGAACATAGGGCTTCAACAACACATCTAAACTTTGTCCTATTTTTTGCTGTTCTTTTCAGCCGGGTCCACGAATGACAAAAATCTCTCATTTCCTCTTCGCACAACCTCTTCCATGTCACCCTCGAACGACCCACTTGTCACTTCCTATTCGGATTCCACTGGAGGAATGGCCTGGCTTGCGGTGTTATTCAACGGCTTCCTCAACATATGCCCAAACCATCTCCATTTGCTTCTAAACATTTTTTGAACGATCGGCTCTTGGTCAGTTTGTTCATCACCACAGTTTCTTGTTGCTAGTTTCTCCCGACTGGCCATTCGATCTTTAGTATGTAGCAAATGAAGTAGACAGCTGTGGATAAAAGTCTGCAGTAACCTGTCGGAAATGTTTCCCGTTTTTCATCAGCCAATTTGCTGACCCGTATAGAAAAACTGACTGACTGACTTGACATTTGTGTTGAAAATCCGAATGTTGTTATTTATGCTGAAGTGGAGTGCAGAAGATTTCCAAACTTATTTCAAGTTGATGAAGACGTAACTTGCCTTTCCTATTTCGGCTGACTGGTTCTGATATCTTTATCAGTTCCACCATCTGTAGCTGAAACCGTGCTTCCTAACCGGATAAGGGTAGGAAGTAACCTCGTCCAAGTTCCTCTCGTTGATGGTGATTGGTTCTGTTTGTTGTTGTTCTTGGTTGGTTGGCTGATTATCTTCATCAACCCCGTCTTCTCTGTGTCCTGTCTTTGACACCCGTCACTTCAGCCAGTTTGATGGTTTTCGCCTGTCTGCAAGTCTTTGAGTTTGTCTATGCGAAATCCAGATCTTCTAGAGTCTTCTTATCTGTCAATAAAGCGTATTACTACTTCCTTCTTCCCAACGAACAGTCTGATGCATAATCCAGTCCATCACAATAAAGAATATCATTGATGGTAATAGGCAGCCAGCTTGTCTTACTCCTAAATTCACTTCAAACGCCTCTCTGAGTTTTCGGTTGTGGATCACCTGGCACGTGGCATTGTCATATAGCTGCTGAAAGAGGTTGAAAAAGACTTGAGGCACGCCGTATTGTTGAAACTACTTCTCGGTCAACGCCGTCTGTCGAAGGCCTTTTCGAATTTGATGAGGGAAGTTGAGGTAGAGGTTTGACTGCCATTCTATGCTTTTTTTGATGACGTTGAGTACAGCTGCAATTTGATCAGCACATAACTTACCATTCCTGAATCCATTTTTTCCGGTCTGGTGGAGTTCTGTATCCAGTGCATCTTTTATTCGCTCCAGGATGAGGCAACTTAGTACTGAACTTGGTGTGGAAAACAGCATGATTCCACGCCACTTCTTGAGGAGAAAGGTGTAAGTCACCCTTCTCTGACAGCTTAAAAAGGTAACCAGTGTTTTTTCCAGTCAGTAGGTACCTTTCCTTCTTTCCAAACCTTTTGCAATAATAGTATGAGTACATCTGCTGCAGTCTCTAGGTCTGTTTTCAATGCTTCGGGGAGAATCCCATCTAGATCTGCTGCCTTTCCGGCTTGATTTCAGCAGCTTGATCGCATTCAGGTTTTCTGCTTTCTCTGGAGTACTGGTGTCCACTGGCAGGCAGTCCTGTGCGTGCTGTTGCTGGTGTTTCTGGACGAACTACGGGTAATGGCTGATTCCAGAGTCCTTTGAAGTAATCAACCCATTGTTTTATTTGTTTCCCCCTCCTAGGTAATTAGGTTTCACCTGAGTTGGTGTCTTTCCGGATACAGACCTGGTTATCTGATATAATGTTCTGAGGTCTCTTTTACCTGCACCCTGCATGTTCTGCTTCAGTTGCCGGCCAGTGTGTCGTAGAATTGTTTTATGTCTTTCCTAGCACTCTTCTTCACTTCTTTATTCAGTGAAGTGTACAGAGAACTCAGCTTCTCCTCCTGTCATCCATTCTTGCATTGAGTCATCTTCTCTTTCACCATCCTTCTCTCCTCGACTAGCTTCCAGGTAGGTGTCCATTGAGATCCATTCCTTATCTGGTCTCTTCTTTCTTCTTGTTACCAATTGCTTTCAACTATTTAACATGTTCTTGATTCAACGCTGCTCAGTGGTTCAATGACATGATAAAACACACTGTCAAATTCATTTAAGGCGCTGAATGAAAGTCATACATGACTCCTTAATTCCTGATACTCTAATAACTGACAGCTGTGTGCTATCCTGATAATAAATTAACTTGTCCCGCTTCCTGGTCACTAATCAACATTGAAAGATTATTATTATTAATATAAAGACATATTAATACACTCACACTTACCTCAAGTTTTTTAATTGCAGAAAATGGCGTTGACAGAATGTGTGGTAGATTACGTAAATCGACATACTTGATTTTATCTGTCACTTCAAGATCATTCAATGGCCAACGTAGCTTCAACCTGAAATGTTACAAGTGAATGGGTTATTTCAATTGTTAATCTGAAAGCGTTTGATTAATTTTTAAGTTAGATCACGGATTCACATCATTTGTAAAGAGGACCGTAGGGAATCGAACCTGAGAAGTTGCGGTTACAAGGCGAGATCATTGACCATTATTCAGACACTGGAATGGAATTCAACGGCCCAATCTGCATTTTTTGATGTTCTCTGAAATCGTTTTCAGCTGACTCAGATGATTTTTGCACGAGCTTTCATTTCCTTCTCGACAAACAGCCTTCTCCATTTTATCTTCAGACACAAACTCAACTCGCCGTTTCTAATTCAGGTTCCATTAGAGGTTCATGTGAGTATTTCACTCAGCAGTTTTCTCTATGTATATTCAATCCGTCTCCATTTCTTTCGGCATATTTCTTAGACGATAGGTGTTTGGTCGGCTCGTTGCCCGCCAAATTATCATATTGTTTATTCTTTCAGGTGAGCCATCAGATTTTCAGTATTACTGAGCAAAGGTAGCTGTTGGTGAAATTCTGAAGGAAACTGTTGGCAATGTTCTTCATAACGCGTGTGTCGAGTCTGTGAGGTATATAGAATAACTGAATGATGAATTGATATTAGTGCTGAAAATGCAGTTCTTCTTTCTTGTAATGAGTACAGTAGACTCCGACAATGATTTAAGAGTGATGAAGATCTGTCTTGCGTCTCCGATCCTGCATGGTTTTGACATCCTCATCTGTGCTAATATAAATGAATGTGTGGGTTGAAGCTCATACATCAATGTTCCATTTGTGCATATTTGCAGGCCCTTGAAAACAAACATTTCACTAGGGGACGTTTGTACGGGATAGGAACAAAACTGGTAAAATGAAGATATTATTCAATCCATGTCTGTTTACGAAATGTAGACCGCTTGAATGTTCCATCGTCTCTCCAGGTCACTGAAATATCCATGAAACCGAGTTTGTTATTCGATTCGAGTTCGGAAGTCACCCGGATATTTGGATGAATATGATTAAATAGGGTAATAAAGTTTTCAATAGATTTACTATTATTACCAATAATGAGTGCATCATCTACAGAACGTTTATACAGCATAAATTCCCCCCCCCAGCATACCTTGCATTTGTTTCTCCAATTTCGACATGAAAATATCTGTTAACAGGGGCCCAAGAGGACCCCTCTCATCGCAACACCATCGACTTGTTTGTATGCCTTTTCTTGGAAGGTAAATCTGATGTTTTCAGTATATATTAAGATAATGTCTCTGATGTAAGTGATAGGAATAGGTGAGTTTATCTCATTACTTGTGATATAATCACAAATGAAATCAACAGTTTCATGAAGAGGAACACTGGCGAATAAGCATTCTGTGTCGATTGAGTACATAATTTTTTCTTTAATGTTCAAAGCCTAAGGCTTGAAGGTGTATGCTACACTCTGAACACAAATCAATAACAACAGCAACAACACTTTAATTTGGTGGGTGCTGACTAGCAGTGGAATCCAGGATGCGTATTTCGTCCTATTTGGGACTCATCCACCAAAACGTTTGAAACTAAGGTCACTGGGCTCGAGTCTCGGTGGGAACATCATCACTGACTGAGGAATGCAGGTACATCCAGCTGGCGGACGAGTTTCAAATATGACGAAATGCGCATCCTGGATTCCACCACTGCTAGTCACCATCCACCAATTAAATACAAATTAAATGCCCAGACATCGTTGAAGCATCTGCACAAGAAGCGAACAGACATGTCAACCTTAGACCAAGCACTTGGGTCCAATTAATCGACGGGAAAATCTAAAATCCAGGTAAAGCAACAACACCAGCAAAAGAAAAAACTCAAAAAATTCCAATTTAAAAAATTTAAACATACTTATCAGAATTTTCAGGTTTTGGCAGTGTGAATCGTATTAATTTCTTATTTTCTTGTCGTATTATAGCTTCACAGAATTCATTATCTTCTAATGGTGATGAGATGATTCGGCCATCGTCATTCGGAATGTATTCCACGTCATTTTTTAATTTTATCGTCAACCAAAGAATGCATCGTAAACTACCCATACTATTAGTGCTATTCAATGCAAATGTGTGCAAGGCAGCCTTGAAATACTCTATCATATTGATTTGACTATCATCATCTTTTGGCGGTTCTATAGAAGCGGGGAAATATTTACAAGAAAATATGTGCATGCATAAATACAAAAGGATAGACAGAGGTTACATTATAAAACTAAGCACAGCAATATGAAGGTTTTGGTTAAATAAAGCCTGACCTCTCATGCCGTTAGAGATGAACAAGAAAGCCCCAATCCATAAGCATTTGTTATGGAAACGTATACATCGGTAACGACAGAAGACAAGGGCCAGGAAACAGATCGTTTATTGAGGAAATCAACAGATATTTATTGCTTTTCATAGATATTATTATTCGTTATTAGTAGCAGAGAAACAGCGTCTTCTGATTGGTCGATTTCGCGCTGAAGGTTATTCTGTCATCTCTTTATGTCCGTTTCTTTGAAGGTCAGACGATATATCTGAGAATCGTATCCGCCCACGCAAAGTCTACTGTGATTGGTGGTTAACTTCCCCAAGATTAGGGTGTAACGACAGAAGGCAAGAGTCAGGCAACAGATCATTTATTAAGGAAATCAACGCATATTTATATATTTTTCATATACATTACTATGGATATTTAAGTAAACAAACACAGTCTTCCGATTGGTTGTTTCTCACGTAAAGTTAATCTTTCTATTTGTGACTGTTTCTTGAATGTCAAATCCTCTATATGTTAACTGCATCCGCCTACGCAAAGTCTTCTGTGGTCGGTTTTGGATCAATCTTTGTTCACATTTTCTCACGACAAATCTTGGGAACGTAAACACTGACATCAATTGCTGTCTACCAATTTTGGCTAGCAGATAGCTCTCACCACAACGTTTGAATGTAGACTGTAAAACTTCATCTGTTCCTTTCAACTTCATTTTATGCTTCTAGTACTCCCTCACAGTAATCTTTATTTCTACTTCTTTTTGTAACTTAATTCATTGTTCCATTGCTGCGCATAATTCTTACAAATTGTTGTCAGCAACATGCGTCATTCATTCCTGGCGTTCGAAAAAGAACACAGGGTCTCCAATTTTGAAATTTCAGGGTTGGACTGCTAGCTATATAGTCGAACTTACCCTTTTACCATCGGATAGGAAACTAGACGAGAATGAAGAGTGTGTTTTTCAGATATCTAACACAGACCTCCCAAGTCATTGGCAAGCATTCTGCCAGTGAACTGCAGACGCATCTAGTTATAGTATACCATCCTTAATTATTTCAGATTGATTTCAGTTAGTACGATGATTGTAAAACGGGTCACTTAATTTTATTCAGAGCCAGCCACAAAGTCTAAAGAGATCTCCAGAAATCGGTGTTATCGTATTGTTATTATTATTCCCTTGAGTTCAGGATGGAACGTTGGCCTTTAACAGCACATCTCTACTTTATTCTGTTCCCTGCAGCCCGCTTCAGATGGCACTACAGGTTCTTATAAGTTCTCGTCTTATCCTGACATCATCGCTTTTTCCCATTCAGATTCCACTCGAGGGTTTGACAGGGGTGTAATGTCATCCAGCCGCCTCCTCAGTGTGTGTCAGATCCATGTCCATTTTCTTCGGAACATTTGCTGAGCAATATATCCTTGAATTGTTCGTTCCCACAGTTTCGAGTTGCTAGTTCTTTCTGGCTGCCATCAGATCTTCAGTGTGGAGCCAGCGAAGTAGCTGTTGATGGAAGCGGATAGTAGCTTGTTATTATTATTATTGTTTCCCTTAATTCCACACGTCTCCATTGCGTTTGGTTCTCCGCCAACCTTTTCACCTGGCTCCACGTCTGCCTACATGCTTTCATCTCCTCTTCACATCACCTCCTCCATGTCACCCTCACACTGACGACCAGCTCGCCGATTTCAGTTCGGGTTCCACTCGAGCGACGGCCTGGCGTGTGAGGTCACTCACTTGATGGTTTGTTTTCTCAGAGTATGGCCGATTTACCTCCATTTCTTCCTGAATATTTCTTTCAGAATTTGTTCCTGATTGGTTGGTTCACTCCCAGAGATCCCTGCTGCTAATCTTTTCTGACCGGCCATCTCATCTTGAGTAGTATTGGGCAAAGACAGCTGTTGACGAAGGTCTGTAGTTTGTTCGAAGTGCCCCTTTCCAAAGCGTTTTCCCAAGGACTGTAATAATTCGCATCGCCACTGTGCTAATTTGTACTATGGTAATTTCGTCTCTGAAAGTATAGGTCTTAGGGGTGCTCCTGGTTTGTGTATATGCGTCGGTGGCATAGCGGTAGAATGCTCACCAACCACGTCTCATGTGGTCCGGAGTCCGATCCACAACCAACTGACGCACTCCTTCACCCCTCTAAGCTAGTAATAAGACTGATAAAGAGGGAAGGTTGGGCATAAGACTAGTAACCCCATCCCGTTAAAGTAAACCCCAATGCTACCGAAACTTCAAGCCTCTAGCTTGAAGCCATATGTTCCATTGGGAACGTAAAGGAACAAACCAACACTTGAATATCAATGAGATGCTCACTAGTGACTTGCCCTATTCAGGTAGGTAGTTACCTGGGGTTCTAGTGAGAAGTCGTGACCAGTAGGGTGCAGCAGGTCGGGTGTGAGGACAAATACTCGCCGAAGACATTGACTGGTGGTCGCGCTATGTCGTGAATTGGGAGAAGTTAGAATTCATGGGCAATTGGATCGGGTCCCAGTGGCTTAATGGTATGCAAGCTCGCCTTGTAACCAGAAGGTCCTGGGTTCGAATCCCAGTGGGTGCGTACTTTTGAAGAGTCACAAACTAGGACGAAACAGCTGTCCAGTACTCCCCAGTTGATTTTCCAATGGTTCTCTAACCAGTGTCAGCTCATGATGAAATCCTGTAACTAATCAACCAAATCCCTACAAACCAATACTTGAAACAGGTTTAGAAATCTTATGCACTGCACTCAATCAGCACATAGAACAAGATTTCGATTTTTAACACAAATGTGGAGTCAGTCAGTCATTTCTTCTCTATGAGTCTGGCGTCACAAAAAGGATTTCCAGCGAGTCAGATTTTTATCAACAGCCGGCTTCTTCACCGGCTCCATCCTGAAGATCAAATGACCAACCAGCCGGTGGGCCATAAAGAATTAGCAACAAGAAACTCTGACTGGGAACAAACCAACAGACGAGAGCCAACTGCTCAAAAAATATGATGGCGAAAATGCAGATGGATTAAGTATACGTTGAGGAGGCCGTTGAATGACATCCCGCTTAATGTAGGCCATTCACCACTCGAGTGGAATCCGAATGGGAAGTGATGAATGGGTCGTCAGTGTGATGGTGACATGGAGGAGATTGTGTAGGGATAAGGAGTAGGAGGTGATGAGGGATTCTGGTCAATCGTAGACCGAGCTGAAGGGGACAGCAGAGAATAGAAGAAGGCGGAGATGTGTTGTTGAAGCCCTACTTTCCACTTGGAATAATAATTATTATCAATAATATTTAGTTAGAAATTTCTGATTTCTCATCAGTCTTATTTGTCCCAATATAATTATAATAGTATGTATATATCCCTGCATGTAGAGTATCCATCTGAATATTCCTACCGAAATTTGATGAACTCATTGAATCCTTCTTCATCAACTTTTGTTGCTTGTTTTAAATTTGTATGGCGAGATAAATTGATATATTTAAAGTTATCTTTCCAAGGTATAAACACCTTACATGAATTCAAAATGATCCTTTTGGTAACCAAATTACAAACGTGACTGACTAAATTAAGTCAGCTTCAAAACTAAGGTGACTATTCGCACGTCACTAGCCAATAACCCACAGTGGTCAATCCATATAACTAGTGACAATCCTTCAGAAGGCCATTCATGAGCCAGAATAGCCTACAAGGTGGCGTCTTTGACTGCATCACTCCTTTGACGCAGTTTCGGATAAACAGAGGGTTATATTTCCTTTGGTATTATAGATATATCCTGGTGGTGAGTGCCAGTAAGCATGAGAGCCATGTCCATGGTTTTCTGTCGACTGCTTCCTCCAACAAGCTAACACACACATTTGAATCTCACAGTGTCGATTAGTTGCGTAGTTTTGTAACTATATCGCAGACCCGACAGATAGAATAAACTAATCAGGAATGAGACACACGACATTGCTTGCTCTCTATTGACTAATCAATGTATATATCTTTTGTATTTTCTTTCTAATAAACCTCAACAGCCATACAATTTTTGACCAATTATCTTTTTACAAATGAAGTGATTTTTGACACTGTAAGAAGACTCAGACCTATAATTCTGTGTCTATTAATAGTTTATATCCCTCTTCAGACAGGGGATCACTGAACAACCCTTAATCATCACGATCCCAGACTATTTAGCAGCGTGTACCCAATGATCGCAAAAAAGTTGTTTGTCTTTTACTTAACCTTACAGGGCGAGAAACACGCCTAATTGTACGGCCTATGTAAACTGCCTAATTTCCCCTCTTCCATGTGTATCTACCAATTTAACTGCTCCTGTGGAGCTAGTTAGTTACATAGGCTGTACAATTAAGCGTGTTTCTCTTCGAATTTCCGAACATCACCTTGCGTGATGGTTAATTAAGGGAACAACAAAATCCATTCACATAGCTCCATTCTATCTCATTGTGTGGGTATAGAACAATGCGGCTTTCAGAGTTATTTACCATATACCAACAAATCTCAGTTTTGCCTTAAGAGTTCGATTACTAAACATTGCTGAGGCTGTTGAGATCCACATTAAGAAGCCTAATTTATGTATCCAAAAGAAGAAGTTGGTTCAGACATTATCCTTACCTTGGCAATCCAGGCTTGAGTGATCCTGAATTTTTGTGGAATTTTCCTAATTTTAGTTGTTATTCTATTTGCCACTATATCTTTACTATTATTATTATAATTTAAGCATCTTTAATGAACTGTAATTCCATCGTGATCTTACCTTACAAATCGATATTATTTAAAAAACACTAACATTGTTATTGACTACTAATATTCTAGAATATTCTATGTATATAAACATGTATATATATATATATATAATTGTAGAGCCATAAGAGGAATTTATCGAAAAGGATATTCTGTGCTCAATTATTTCGTGTTTTATGGATGTCTGAAAGAACATAT